AGAGAGAGAGAGAGAGAGAGAGAGAGAGAGAGAGAGAGAGTTGTTAATAATATTTGGTTTTTTTATTAAACATTTCCTAATTATTTGGTTTTATGAATGAAATGTCAAAAACAGGAAAATAGATTAGAAGAGGGCCTGAGATAACAGTGCTCTCAATAGCCATCACAACCACTGAATTGTTATTTAAAGCCATTTGTTGACTACTTCTTCATCTCATTTGTATTTCGGACACAACTTTGAGAAACAAATATATTTCACATTTTTATTTGCATTATTTCATAGGTTTTCCGACAAATAAAATATTTTTAGCAAATATTTGGTTTCGATAAACATTTGTCATTAAATAAAACCCACGGAAAGCCACAGATTATCGCACAAAACAATTATTATAATTACAATGACCTTAATATTCAAAACAGTTATGCAATGATTTTTCCATTTAAAATATGCATAATTTTAATGAATAATATGTATTGTAAATCAAATTAATATCAAGTTTAGTGTTAAAAGGGATATAATTATGAGACAATTTCCTGATAATTGTTTATCATTTACTATTTAGTAAGAAAATTGATTAATGAAAGAGTTGTCAAAAAATTTAAAAGTAATAATTAAATATCAATTATATGTAAAGAATTCATTCATTATTAAATATCTCGATAGTTTGTTATCAAACAATTGATACATATTTGCAAAACAAAGCTGTGATTCAAAAATTTAAAACATACATGTACATGTTTAAGCAATAATAACTATGTAATAATTAATTAGTTAATAAGAAAATGATTTTCATTTAACTCAAGCTAATAACAAAATAACTTATCAATGAAATAACCGTTAAGTAATTGCCAGACAATTGATTGCTACACATTTACATATCCTATCAATAAATAACCAGTTTTAACGTTAAATATAAAATTCTTATGTTAAACAACCAATGGTTCATAAATAACATGATATAAATTTTATTTAATTATAAACACTACAAGGAATGTCACTTATAGTCCGGTCTCTCTCTCTCTCTCTCTCTCTCTCTCTCTCTGATTGTAATTGAAGTGATAATTGAATATAAGTGTCAAACATTTAATGCTATGTAAAACAATAATGCAATTGTTGTGCGAAAACACATATCAAATGATTGAATGAAATCACAACAAATCTAAAAAAGTCAAATATAAATCACGACATTTAAGAGATAACTTTGTTTCGGCGACAAAGAGTGTCACTAAATGATTGGTTAATTAAATTAAAAATTTGCACAAATAAGTAATCAATTAAACAAAACACGTTAAATACAATAAAAATACAATACATAGTACTTACGGCTAACAAGTGGCCGACCGTAACGGTGAGGCCGATGGCCAGCGGAGCGAACGTGGGGTTAGACTCGCATACATTGCACACCACAAACACCAATAGGAAAGTGATGAACGCCTCGAGGACTATGGCAGCGCCGGGGCCGTTGATCAATGTATCGGTGATCTTGGTCTGGCACAGGTCTCGGTTGCTCTCGGTTTTCATGAAGTATAGTATAGACGCTCCGAGGACTGCGCCCAAGAACTGTGCGATCCAATAGACCACTGCCTTCAATATGTCGATCTGGCCGTCGATGAGTACGCCCAGAGTGACCGCCGGATTGATGTGACAGCCGGACACGTGACCGAAACTGCTGGCCAATGCCATAATGACCAGACCGAAGATCAGCGCCACACCCATTAGGGTCAGAGCTGGCTCTGGCGACAACACTTGGAGACCCCCTGGCAGAGTGATGCTTAATTTAGCGGTGCAGGTGCCGCACCCAAACAGCACTAGTATGCCAGTGGCCACGCACTCGGCCACACCGGCCCGAGTCAGGTCGCCGTAACGACTGGTGAGCATCTGTTTGAGATCCATATCTATTGACAAATGTATCGTTTACTGCGAGACCACTCAAAGAGATATAGTTGTCGTCTAAACGTATCACTCGTTATACACCAGTCAAGCGCTGTTTCGCCCAGAGATGTGCCCAAAAACCTCTGCAATGTTTTACAGTTGTGTTTGCATTTAGTTTTCTCACAGCATATATCGCTGTCTCTCATAGACTTACCCGCGCTTTCAGTGTTAGCCCAAAATGCAAAAACTTTTTCCAACACTTAGTATAAAGTTTTAATAATAAGTTTTGCTTTTTTGTGGTTTGAATTTTTAAAATTCACACACAATTTATGGATTATTTATTTATTGATTGGAATAAATTTAGTTGCAAATAATTTTTATGCAAATTTTTTGTTTGTTTCATATAAGCAAATGTGAAACAAAACTAACGGCACTATTACTTCGTTGTTGTGTCGCAACGAATCATGTGTTGAGCGAAACAATTGAATAATAAAAATATATTTGGTTTTGTATTGAATCGTCCGATGGATGGGAATCCTATGGCAATAGTGGGAGGGATTGGGATTTGAATAGTAATTGTGTTGTTATGAGAAAAGAGGGAGAGAGTGTGACAAGAAAGTGAGGGATGCGATGGATTCGGGGCTTATATGACTAACTGTGCGCCCAATCCCTGTATTTGTGCGACAAAAAGATAGGCAGATATTTGTATCACAGCTCTCTCTCTCTCTCTCTCTCTCATCACTCACTCCCTCCCTCTCTATGCGTTTATGTGTCTCCCAAAGCACCGAAGTGTATGAGTGAAGCAACTATTTGTTTGAAGGTTATTTGCATTTTCCAATCATATCTATTTGTATATTACATCAATTATATGATATAATTTGTGATTTATATAAATATAGTTATTTTGTCTATTTATAAATGTTGTGCAAAAAATAAACACAACTTTTTTTGGGGGCACTGAAAGAGAAATGATAAAAATTCTTGCGATTTTCATTGACTTTTTCACTAAGAATTTGTTATAAACTGAAGTTATAGTGAATTCTGTCCATAAAAATATATTTTCTCATAATTTGTTGAGTGAAAAATGTTGTGTTGTTTTTGTTGTCACACCTAATGATGATATGATTGCATAAGTATTAGAAATGTTCGCAAAATTTTTCTTTAATGATATAACGGATGGAAAAGCAATTAACAATTGTTTTGTCACTTAAATTACGATAAGGTTAAGGCCTTCTGGTTATTAACGACTCTTTTTATTAGTTTTTACTAGTATTTTAAATTCCGATTCACTATATATTGTGTTTGAAATTACATAATAACTTCATTGATTGATAAGATCTCGTATTTATTTTGTGAAAATATGCTTAAAAATATAATAAATTACTCGTTAGTACCAAATATTTGTTAAACTAATGTACTCTCTCTCTCTCTCTCTCTCTCTCTCTCTCTCTATAGAAGTTTTAATTGCAACTAATTAATTTTGCCCCAAATATGTGTTATTTGTAACTATTTTATTCAAAACAATGAATGTAAGTTATCGTATGGGTATTTAAATAGGATTCTGTATTTCATTAGCGTTTGATTGCATTTCTCAATTCAAATGTGTGTACCCTAAAAACCCACAGATACGCCCACCCGCGTATAAGCCGGATCATAAAATTTTGAAAGTAAAATGTTCCCACAGATAAGCCGGTACCTATGTATAAGCCGAATTTAATATAACCTAAGTTTTAAAACGTAATTTTTGTGATATACTGGTTTACGTTTTGAGTCTTATTAGTCATTGACTAGTCGTCTAATTCAGTGTCTGTTTTAATTGTGATCTAATGGCTAAAACATGAAATAAGTATCACAGTGCTAAGAAACTCGAAGTCCTTAGCTATGTAGTGTAGTGGTCTAAACTCTTTTACTCCATATGAATTGTGAAACTATAGATAGGCTGAACCCATAGATAAACTTTAAATTAACTATATTTTGTAATTAAACTATCTTAATAAATATGATTATTTTTATTTTAAATCAAAATTGTTTTTAATTAACATATTTTATAATTAAATATGCTCATAAATAAGCCGAACCCACAGATAAGCCGATTCTCTAATTTTTTTTATAAAATGCACTTTTTTCATCAGATAAGCCGCGGCGTATCTGTGGGTTTTTAGGGTAGTATTTATGTAAACTGAATTGACATTGAAATGATCCAGAATTTGCAATTTATTTTTAAATATTAAGTTAGTTATAGACATAAACTACATATTAGACTGATTTTCTGGTTGTTTATTATTATTTCTTATAAACGAAAACTTTATTTGCATTAAACGCACGCATAATATACCGAAAAGTAACTATTTTGATACCCAATAGTCGTGACTAAAACCACA